TTCTCACTATCTCTCTTTCCATTCTCTTCTCACTGTCTCTCTCTCTTTCCTCTCTCCTTCTCTCTCTCTCCTTCTCACTCTCTCTCCTTCTCCTCCTCTCCTCACTTCTCCTCTCTCTCACTTCTCACTATCTCTCACTTCTATCTCTCTCTTCTCTCTCTCTCCTTCTCTTCTCTCTCTCTCTCTCCTCACTCTCCTCTCTTCTCTCTTCTCTCTCTCTCTCTCTCACTTCTCTCTCTCTCCACTTCTCTCTCTCACTTCTCACTCTCTCTCACTTCTCACTCTCTCACTTCTCCTCTCTCTCTCACTTCTCACTCTCTCTCACTTCTACTTCTCTCTCTCTTCTCTCTCTCTCTCTACTCTCTATCTCTCACTTCTCTCTCTCTCCTTCTCACTATCTCTCCTTCTCTCTCTCGCTCACTTCTCTCTCTCTCTCACTTCTCCTCTCTCCCTTCTTCTCTCTCTCCTTCTCACTCTCTCCTTCTCCTCTCTCTCCTTCTCCTCTCTCACTTCTCCTCTCTCTCCACTTCTCACTATCTCTCCTTCTCTCTCTCTCTCCTTCTCCTCTCTCTCACTTCTCTTCTCTCCTTCTCACTATCTCTCACTCTCTCTCTCCCCTTTCCTCCTCTCTCTCTCACTATCTCTCCCTCTCTCTCACTATCTCTCACCTTCTCTCACTATTTTCACTTCTCACTATCTCCTTCTCTCTCTCTCTCACTTCTCACTATCTCTCACTTCTCACCTATCTCCTTCTCCTCTCTCTCACTTCTCACTCTCCTTCTCCTCTCTCTCCTTCTCACTCTCTCCTTCTCTCACTCACTCTCCACTTCTCCTCTCTCTCACTTCTCACTATCTCTCACTTCTCACTATCTCTCACTTCTCTCTCTCTCTCTCTCCTCCACTATCTCTCATTTCTCTCTCTCTCCTTCTCACTCTCCTCTCTTCTCACTGTCTCTCACTTCTCCTCTCTCACCTTCTCACTCTCTCTCACTTCTCACTCTCTCACTTCCCTACTATCTCTCTCTCTCTCACTATCTCTCACTTCTCCTATCTCTCTATCTCTCTCTCTCACTTCTCCACTATCTCTCTCTTCTCTCTCACTTCTCCTCTCTCCTTCTATCTCTCACTTCTCACTATCTTCCTTCTCACTCTCTCTCCTTCTCCTCTTCTCTTCTTCACTTCTCCTCTCCCCTTCTCACTCTCTCTCCTTCTCCACTATCTCTCATCTCCTCTCTCTCCCCTTCCTCCTCTTTCTTTCACTATCTCTCACTTCTCCTCTCTCACTTCTCTCTCTCTCTCTCCTTCTCTTCTCTCCTTCTCCTCTCTCTCTCTCCTTCTCCTCCCCTTCTCCCTCTCTCCTTCTCCTATCTCTCATTCTCTCTCTCTGTAATGGGTCCCTGTCTCATCATGCTAAGTAATATATAAATGGGTTGTCCTCTGATATTATATTCAGATTCATGTAACTCCTGTCTATGGGTAAGACATGGAGATGGACACGTGACGAGCAACACAGGAGGGCGAGACCCATAGCTCAGCATTTCTGCAGCTTTAGCTTGCGATGCCCTTTAAGCTTGTAGCTCACCTCAACTCATATCGTGGGACCTAACGTTTGTCACTTCTCTCTCTCTCTCTCTCTCACTTCTCACTCTCTCTCACTTCTCACTATCTCTCACTTCTCACTCTCTCTCACTTCTCACTATCTCTCACTTCTCACTATCTCTCACTTCTTACTATCTCTCACTTCTCACTTTCTCTCACTTCTCACTCTCTCTCACTTCTCACTATCTCTCACTTCTCACTCTCTCTCACTTCTCACTCTCTCTCATTTCTCACTCTCTCTCACTTCTCACTCTCTCCCACTTCTCACTCTCTTTCACTACTCACTATCTCTCACTTCTCACTATCTCTCACTTCTTACTATCTCTCACTTCTCACTCTCTCTCACATCTCACTCTCTCTCACTTCTCACTATCTCTCACTTCTCCTCTCTCTCACTTCTCACTCTCATTTCTCCTCTCTCTCACTTCTCCTCTCCCTTCTCCTCTCACTACTCACTATCTCTCACTTCTCACTATCTCTCACTTCTTACTATCTCTCACTTCTCACTCTCTCTCACATCTCACTATCTCTCACTTCTCACTATCTCTCACTTCTCACTCTCTCTCACTTCTCACTCTCTCTCACTTCTCACTCTCTCTCACTTCTCACTCTCTCTCACTTCTCACTATCTCTCACTTCTCACTATCTCTCACTTCTCACTCTCTCTTCTTACTATCTCTCACTTCTCCTCTCTCTCACTTCTCACTATCTCTCCACTTCTTACTATCTCTCACTTCTCCTCTCTCTCATCTCCTCTCTCACTTCTCCCTCTCTCCTTCTCACTCTCACTTCTCCTCTCTCTCATTTCTCCTCTCTCTCACTTCTCACTCTCTCACCTTTCCTCTCTTTCACTCTCACTATCTCTCACTTCTCACTATCTCTCACTTCTTACTATCTCTCA